CGTATTTAGGTGGAATTTGGCAGTTTCAGATTCAGGTAGACGTGCGTGTGCATGGTAAGGATGATCTCTAGAGGTCATCTACATGAGGCAGGACCATCTCTATCTAAACCATCCCATACAAATCTTTGTCTAATTACTAAAACCGTGCAATCAGCCATGTCCCACAGTTATAATGCATGACACGCTAACCTGCCACAGATAAAAGATACAGCAAGGGGATAATGGCAGCTGGTGTCCTACTGCTGCAAGAATTGTTAAAATACCCTTGACAAATCCAAGAAAGAAGGCAACCCCCTTCCCCCAACTGCCCTGCAACAGAGGAAGGCAGAAACTGCCACAGTCCATACTAATCTGACCATGGAGTAAAATTCCTTCCTGACCCCAAATGTGGCAATCAGTGTGACCCTGAGTGGCGGAGGACACCTGTATTAATATCTATCTACATCATGTATATGCACACACTCATGAACTTGGCTAATTGTGTCATTTTTACCACTGCTTTCATTCAGGCATGTCCTTGAAATATATCTATTTGGCCTGACAAAATACAATCGAGTAATAAACAAGTGAAGTAAAATACTGTAAAAATTCACTGTTTGTTAAATGCATTCTGTCTAAGCGCTAACTAGTTGATCTAAAGATTACTTCACTCTGTTGTTGACACTGCTATCTGAAGATGTCTTTTTTGTTATTGTTAGAATAGCTAGATGAGACATTAATAACTGCTGTTTAACATAGCCTCTAGTTACTGATGAAATAAAAAATAGCTCATTACCATTGTAATATATGAATACATTGGTTTTTTTCCCCAATGCAAAAAGAAATGTCTGTTGAATCCTTTTGCCCTTTCTGTATCATGATGCATAATTTTACTAAGGTTGCATACTGTTGGACCTGTACTTTTGCTATGTCACTTATTGAGAATAAGTTTAAATAACTCATTTTTCCCAACCCCGTGGCCATAGATACTTCATAGTCTCATCCATTGTTTTCATTTCCTAACTACTGGTTTATACTCATTACTATCAACTTTCTCATATAAATTTTATCACCTCTAGCTCTCTCTTTCTTGCTTAACTAAGTAATTTACTCTGAATAATAGTATTCAGAGTAGATGTATATGGAGACATAGAACTAGAAAGGACCACCTTGGTCTCTGAGTCTAGTCCCCTGTGATTGCACAGTCATGTAATAGATGTCCAGTTCAAAAAAGTGTGTAAGAATTTTTTCATGACTACTGTAAAAGGGGTGGTATTGGTTATATAATAATCCTTAGACAGTTTTTAATCAACAGTTACATATTGATATCTTATTAGTCTCCCACTTATTTTTTTTCTCCCCCCCCTCCCCCCCCATTGCTTTCTGCTTTGGGAAATTGCCTTTAAAAAATGGTAGATTTATATTTATTCCTCTAAATACATAGGATATTTCTTTTCCTTCTCCATAGTGGTAACGATATGGTATGCAATTGATACACTTTAAGGTTAAAAGAGGGCATTGTGGTCATCCAGACTGATTTCTTGCCTAGCAGCAGTGATAGAAGTTGTATGCAGCAATTTCTGCAGCAAATGCACTAACTTGTGTTTGGGTTTGGCACATCTATCTCCAGGCATTTGTGTATGCTGTAGGCATGGAGCAACAGGTCAGTCAGTGCACGCAAAGTCAAAATTGTAGCTCCATCTTTGGTAGAATAATTACTTTGCCTGAGGAGCACCTGTTCCTCCTCTTGTTATCACTGGGATTTCAGGTGCCATTATCTGTGTTTCAGGTCATACAGCAGTCGCACTTAATGTATCACATCTTTACAGCACTTCTTGGTATGGCTATCTTGTGAAATCATTTAAAATAAAGATGGCACAGATTTTATGGCACTAGTTCATCCTCTTGGCGTAAGTGAGCAAACGTGTAGCAAAGGTTGCAAAAGTGATACCTTAAACTTGGTGAATGCTATTGTGTGCTGTACAAATATTTGCATTTATATATATCTGTGCCCAATGTGTTCACTCCTTTTTTCCTCTCTATGTTCCTCAGTGCACCTGTGTCTGAAGCTTTGTTTTATTTCATTTTGTTGTGATCTAGAGAAGTGTATTGGACATGGACACTCTCTTCCTTCTCAACTCAGATTTAATCTCTTGTCTGCATTACTTCACTTTGCTTCCCTTGTCCTCTCTTATGTGTTGTAAACCTCCATTCTACTTGCTTCAAAGCAGCATAGCCAGCCTTAATCAAGTCATTTGACAGCTTGTGTCTCTTTGTGTCGTGACTGGGGTTTATTCTCTGGACTTCAGAGACCCAGCTCTAATTCCAGCCTGTAAACAGAAGTGAGCATAAAGGTGGCATTTCTGCATCTTCAACTACTTCATTGAATTTACCTACAAGTTTCTCCTCCATTCCAGACCCCTGCTCATAGCACTTTATTTGTGTGTTTTCCCACCTTTAGTTAAAACATTTGATTGTACAGATCCTTTGGGTCTGTTATGTTGCAGGCTATTTGAAATACCCTATTCATAAGAAAGACACTGCATCCGTTCTCTGATTACCACCTCTCTGCTTTTCTCAGATCCAGGCTTGCACAGACAGCAGTTTTTCCTGCAGAGACCGTCAAACGTGATGGCTGTTGAAGGAAATGATGCCATTCTCGAGTGTTGTGTTTCTGGATTTCCCACCCCCACTTTCACATGGATGCGTGGAGATGAAGTGATCCCAGTCAGGTATTTCACACTCAGGTCTCTCATATAATGATGCTTCATTGCTGAGAGTGAAGAAAAAAAATATCGACTGATGCATTAAGTGCTGTCCGTATGGTTCACATTTGATGCGATTGAGCCTCTTGAACAAATAACAGAAAGATCAGATGGACACACAAAACCTCTCATTAACCTGATGTGCAGCTGTCCATGTACATCTCAGGGCAGATTTGGTCCTAAATGTCTTTCAGGAAAGGTTCTTGAGAAGACCTTATGGAGTGGCTTAGATCATGAGCACTTTTCTTTGTGTATAAAGGTGTTATTTGAACATAACTGGGGATGTTTTTTGTCAATGCTACAGGTCCAAAAAGTATTCCTTATTGGCCGGCAGTAACTTACTTATCTCTAATGTGACTGATGATGATTCGGGGACATACACGTGTATAGTCACCTATAAGAATGAGAATAGCAGTGCCTCTGCAGAGCTCTCAGTGATGGGTAAGTACATACTTTCATGCTCTGTATAAGAGAAGTCCTTTGTTTTCTCAAGTATTTTTACAAACATTAGCATTTTTTAAGTCTTTCTGTTTTAGCTCTCCAGGTACTTCAGATCTTATTTAAACAGGATCTTTATACTATATATGTGTAATCAATACACCACATTTCTTGAAAGTACCTGATTTATAGCCTCAATGCTATTTAACATCTGATGATACTACATCTCAACAGTTAATCTATTCAGTTAATACTGTTTTTCTTCTGGTTTATAATGTCCCTGAGTCTAGCATGACTAATAGATGTAATTCTGCTCTGCAACTTTATTGTCACATGGTGTACACATCTGTAACTTTGCTTGCAAAAATGGCCTCATTGTTCCCTTAGGATTGTGTGGCCTTGCCTTAGCATGAAGTGCTATGTTCCTGAAATGTTCTGCATTGTTGCATTTAACTTAATGACATTGATGATAATTATGTCAAGGTCAGAAATTTAAGCAAAAATATGCCTCCGTTCCTTCGTCACCCATTACCTCTTCCCTTCTCCCCCCATACTGAATTAAATTCAGTGTTAGTGAGTGCTCACTGACAAATGGTAGACTTCAACAGCAACAAAAACACATTTCAGATTACTAAGTGACAAAATATGTTTTCTAAGATACCTTGAATCATAGACTTCTTCCTATGTCAGTTCTTAATAGAATCAGAATTATGTTAATTGC